TTTTTTTATAAAAAAAAAAATTTTTTTTTTTTTTTTTTTTTTTTTAATTAGAAAAGAAAACTCTTCGAAGAGAACGTAATGCCATTTGCCTGAAAAACGGTGCCCTGAAAAACAGGCTCAGTTTTCAATTTTTAAGAGTGAGATTTCTTCGGAATGACAATTTACTCTAAAAATTTTAGAGAGAACTCTTATACTGATTGCCGTGTTTGCATTACATAACACATAGGGATTACCTTTGCTATGGCAAATTCGAACTCAGCGATGCAATAATGGTTTCAATCCCTGAATTAGTTTTTTTTATCGCCATTTTTTTCTTGGAACACGCGAGTTTCAACAGAAATGTTAGTAACAAAAATATGACGTAATGATTAAACGTCTGTGCATCCTGAACAAAAATTATGATATGTACTTTAAGAGTACATAATATACTTTTTTTTTTTATCAAATAAATTGAATTAATTCGAACGTGATAAATATTACTCATTATTCGTTTGGATGTTTCGAATATAAAATGATTATCTTGATAATAATTCACTTATTTTTAATTATGTGCTGTTATCTGTAGTTAATGACTGTGAAGTGCAATATGAAGTAACGACACACTTTCAACAAGTTTCCTATTTATATTAATAAAATTGATCAAAGACTAGGGTCAGAATACAATCTTCAGAATACAACTTGAAGTCGCGGGTGCAGGTAAAGACGCTGGTGCAGATAAAGTCGCGGGTGTAAGTCACAGCACTAGCGAGAATCGCGGCGGCGTTACATTTGCTTATATAAACAACTTCTCTTACATTTGCTGTTTTTCCAGACTTTCCAAAATATTTATAAACAAATTCCAATGGGGTTTCTTGCTGTTGTAATCATACTTTGGATTATTTTTTCTTCTGATTTTCATCGATCATAACTTAATTTGTTACGTAATTGATCTATTTCTTCTTTAGTATGCTTTACTGTAAACGCTTATTGTTAATTTACAATTAAAATATGTCATATTTATATTTTTCCCCATCTTAGTTTTATCATATATTAAATCAACCTTTATTAAACTTTGATCTAATGACAGCTAATTTTGTGTGTTCGGTATGGATGGCTAATTGATTGCGATTCCTCGAGGTTTTTCCTACTAGTTGTATTCTAATAGTCATATTCTTTATAGTGAATAATGATTTAATTTTTAAAATGGCATTGCAATGGTTCTACACTAATTATTCGTAATTTTCACGAGATGGAAATTTGCGAGGGGGACGGATTGAGTCAGATGCTCGCCGTTGCAGGGAAGTTTGGGTACAGGTGAAGTCGTGGGTGCAGGTTATGAGCGTCGCGACGCACATGCAGATGGAGACGCGGGGATATCAAATATCCGCGGGTCAAACTCTGCGGGATAATTGTAATCTTTAACAAGGCGTTTTAAAGACCGAAGCGCTTGAATTACCTCGTGTGAAATGAGAATAACAGGTGAAAAATTAATCATTTTAAACAAGAGAATTTAGGGGAGTAAATGATGAAAAGGGGGAACTCGCTTACTTTAATAACTCTGTCTAAATTTCCATTGTGTTTTCGTGTGTGCGTCAATAAATAAATTCAGGTGAAAGATTGCTTGAGCAATCGCTCAAATCGTTTAAAAACTCAGATTTATTTTTTTGAAAATTATTTACTTTAATGACAGACTCTTGTACTGTTTTATCATTTTAATAAAAGTCTCTTCATATATCTTTAGGAGCTATTCGTTTATTTCTGATAGTGAACCATGTTTTCGGTCAATGTAGAGTGATTTTCTCCAGCAGTTCTGTTTATTTGCAATCTTCGATTAAGCAATTCTAGTAGTTCATCTCTGCTACTAGGATGATTTCTATACATCTCTTCAGAATTTGTATTTTTTTTTTTTTTTGTATAATAGAAGGTCGCATTAGAAGTTCAATTAGAAGTTTTTTTTTTGGAATTCTTCACATTTTAATGGAAGAGTGATCAGAGTGTATGCATACAAAGGATAAAATAAAATAATAAAAATTTTAACATAAAAAAATTTAAATTTAAATTTTTATAATACATATTCATAACAGAAGTTAGACTTGTTAAGAATTTTGTTGAAAGTTATAGATATAATATACAGATATAATAAAAACCCACTTTTAAAGAAGAAAATCCTCAAAGTGAAGACGTTAGTATACACTAATTGAGTTTGTAATGAGAAAGTTTATAGCATCATTGAGTAAAGAAAGAGAAAAGATTGATTCTTACTCAAAATATATCGAATATATTTTCTTTAGTGGTTCTCGTCGTGAAAGAGCCCAACTGTCCTCTGATTTTGATGAAGAAGAGACAGTTGGGACCTTTACTATGATTTTGTTCTTCAGATAAAAATAAAAGACATGTATTTTTTCATTGCTCTAATTCACTTTTAAGGGATGAAACATCTGTCTGAAAAAGTGTTTTTTTTTTTTTTTTCTAAAATAGTGCTGAAACTGTAAGAGATAGAAAAAACTTTTTGAAATGAAAGTTGAATGGTTTCACGAATATTTTTACTAATATTATTAATTAATTATAAAAATTTTTTTATTTACCCTCATCACTTTTTTAAATTTTGGTTTTGTTTATGATATAAAAGAAGGTTACGTTGTAACCGTTTTGAACCAAAATATTATTAATCACTTACGATTCTCTCCCTATTTTACTTCCAATAAGGAAGGAAAAGCTGAAGGAATAATCTTTATATCTAGAATCTTATCCAAACTATGACTTCTGGAATCGATCCTCTCAAATTATTACTGGCCTCGGAATGTCCTTGGTATTCTCTGAAGTGAGTATGGTCTCAAGAATGTCTTTAAATGTCTATGTCTTTGTAGACTAAGAGGCCACTGTAGTGGTTTTGTTACCCATAGCGATAAGTATGGGAAGTAGGCTTGTCATACTTGTCACTATGGTCGGCTGGGCCGTAACCTTTTATTTCGTATAAAACAAAAACAATATATATATATATATATATATATATATATATATTTAAGCTCGGTCACAGGGCGCTTGAAGGGGAGATGGGCTTTCTAAAAAATGTTGCAGATTTTTATTGAAAGATTAAATGTTGTTGCAATCAATAGTTAATACCCTTATTCCAAAATAGGCGAACTCCCATATCCCTCAGAAGGGTGCAAGAAATCGCCATACTGGGTCGAAATAGTAAATTTTTTCTGAAAAAAAAGATTAATAGCGACAAAGTGAATTTTTGTCTATTACTTAATTTTGATATCAATTGTTGAGAAATATCATTCCCTTATATCACTCCCTTTTGATCACGAAAGCAGCTATACCTACCCGAACACGTACACTTTTCTTACTATGTAAAATAGTTCAGTTTTTTGGTTTAAAATCAGCCATACTCACTGCAATCTCCTCGCAGAAAAGCCTACTCTTTGAAAAAAATTTACGGGCGACCTCAAGTTTGTACAATGTTATGTTAATTATACGAATAATTCCAGTAATGTACAACTTCCAAGAGAACACATTAGTGACTCTCTAAGAACTTTCACACAGACGTTTCACAAGGGAAGGGGGGGGGATGACATTTTCTTATTGAAGGAAGGATATTAGTGTGTAGCAAATTAATGAAATGAGAGATATTGAGTATCTCAGTTTCTCAGCTCTATTAGATTCTGTTAAAAATTAAATTATTTCGAATAGTAACGTTGATTCAGTTATCAACGTCAATGACCCTATTGGGACACACGTTAATGATAATTCAATTGTTATCAAAAATCGTATTTAGAGATAAGATAATACGAGATCTGGAGAGTAGGGTGGGTGATCAAAAATTTCCCATTTGAATTTTTCCAGTAAGGTTTGTGTTTTTTTTGCTGAATGAGGCCGTGCATTGTCGTGAAAAAGCAACACTTTTCTCGATAATTTTCCAGGACGCTTTCGTTTAATGGCACTTTTAAGTTTATTTAGCACTTCACAGTATTTTGTAGATAATATTCTAATAGGCAAATTAAATGAGAGCAAATTAAACTGAGATTACAGATGTTAATCTCAGTTGTATAACTAAGTTAGCACAGCACAATTAGGTATGTTTTTGAGATGTTATTCTTTTTAACCCTTAATGGTCACACTTCAAAAACGCTACACGATGGTTATTCTGAGTTAAAATGATCCGAAACGTCTTTAAACTGTTACACCAAATCGATAGTATCAGTTCCAATAACTTCCAAAAATTGCAGTATATAGTTTCAATTTTTTAAGAAAATGGAACAATGACGATTTAGTAAAAAATTTAATCTGAACACTAAAAAAAAATCGTAAAAGTGTTAAGTTCGGAAAAACGTGCTTTTTTACTTAAAAAATCATAACTTTTTAAATTTATAATATTTTTGAATGCAATTTTAGCCTAGTACTCTTGAGATGATGTACTTACTAAAAAAAAAAATAGTATGGTTACACACGTTTCAAAAAAGATATTTATTTCAAAGGTAGAAAATGGTTATTTTTTAGGTGTAAATAAAATATCAAATTCGGATAAACGGCTATTTATTATTGA